AACATCAAAACTTACTAGCCTTTCTTCTTCTGAAAGTATATGCTGATCAATGAATTTCACATAATCATAAGAATTTTTGCGACGGAAATTTTTGTTTCGAGGAATCTCTTTTTACCTACTTGTTTAGCTTACTTCATTTCAAGTGAAGGTGTTTGGTGAAGAGATTCGAAAGTCGATTCCACCAGAAGCCTCGTTAGCTTCAATGTGGTAGTGATAATGATACCTTGCTCTGATGATGTTAGTCATATGACGGACGAAAGCTTGGCACTTTCTCATCTGAATGGAAGGAGATTACCTCGGAAACAGCGTCAGAATGAATAATCTAGTAAAGCCAATCAGCAACTGGTCAAGAGGAATCCACCGTCATCTTCTGGTGGAATCGACCGTCGAAACTCTTCACCAAACACTTTCACTTGAAATGGAAGTGCGCTCAACAATAAGCATTTTTAACTAAATATAGCCCAAAATGGGCAGATTTCCTTAGTTTTATGCATAAAAGATGTGAGATTTTATGTATCACGCTTCCTTTATTATTTATAATTAATCTAAGAGGAACATCCTCTTTGTGAACCTTAGGAGGACCGTAAGCCGTGGAGGTCCTTGCATTTCTCTGGAATAACAAATTTATTTTCTACTTCTCAATTTTACCATTACTTACACATACCTTAAGGGCATTCTTTAGCTTAGTCTTTCTGTTGGCTCTCTTAGTAAAGGTCTATACGTGCCATTGTCATTTAAATGAACTAGCATTTTTCTACTTAACTTGACTTATTCATGATTACCACTGCTCCACCTTTGTCAGTTTTCATTACGATCAGATTATTACCACAGAGATATCTATAAACGCTAATAAGGTGCGAATCTTTCTTTGGCGGTATTATATGATCAAAATGAGGGATCAACTCCAGTTCAATACTATTTCTTACCTCTTTAGGTAATCTATCAGATGAGCTAATTAATTAACAATTATTTCCTGCGAATGGTTTACCTCATTTGGAAGAGCAAAATTCAATCCTCTTTCCAATAAAAGTACTACACTATCCTCCAGAGTTGTATTGGATAAATTGCTTACCTTATCCTTCACCACTTTGTTACAAACATGGTTAGTACGACTTACCTTAGCCTCAAAGATTCTCGACCAAATTCTAATCCCTAAGTTCCAGAGCTTTTTATCATG